GACAAAAAATAAAGGCAACAGGTGTTAAATCAACTAATAGGCAAATAATAAAAGCCACAGTAGATACTGTTTTCTTTCTCTTTTCTGCAGTGTAGTTTATTTTTCTACCTCTTTCTCTGCAGGTTTTCCTGCTGTTCTCTTTTGTGGTCTCTTTATTACTTGAGGTTCTTGCTCTCCAACTTATTAAAGGTATTGGTCATTCCTAATCATCAGATATGATAAAGGGCTTACTCCAACTGTTCTTTGTTTATAAGATTGATCATCTCTTTGAAAGAATTAGTGCTCATTTTTGTCAACCTTAATCATCTCTGGCTTCTAATGCCATATAATATCCTACCTACAAGAAAACAGATTAGTGAAGTGTCCTTCTAATGCCATATAATATCCTACAAGAAAAGGGAATATTGAAGCATCTGATCCATTGATATATTTTAATGTTCTTAAAACTGACTAACAGGTTCCTTAGCCATTGATATAATTTAATTTTTCATTTTCAGATCCTTCCTTGAGTATCCTGTCTGGGCCCTATGGACTAATTTTTTCTTCCTTTGTGCCCTTTTATCTCGACATTCCGGTTTCTACCCGGTTCCGCTTATTTAGTCTCCACTTCTCTGACAAGACTTTTATTTATTTAGCTGGCCTCCAGGTATATATACTTTATCACGGCTTCTAATTAAATATTGTCCTAGATTGAGTTTCTTATCATCCATATTTACTTGATATTTTATCTTACAGCTTCTTTTCTCATCCTGGAAAAGATCTATTGTACCCGGGCTCTGTGGAATAATTGCAGGTTGCTTGTATCGTTTGAACTTTTGCCGTATTAGGAAAATGAAGGTTTGCCCTGTTCTTGTTTTTCAAAATTCTCTCTCTTTCTCTGTGTGTGTCTCTGTCTGTTCATACATATTTAAGTTTTGTTTCTACTGAGTTCGCATTCTCTGAAAATAATTACTGTAATCTCATGGTATTAGGTATTTATGTGATACCATCACTTCTCTCTTTTTATATGCCTGGAGAATTTGACTTAGTCTTGCATGCACATATATATAATATTGCTGCTAGTCATTAGCATTGCTTTTCTGTACTTGAATTTCATGTAGTTGGAAGTACATGGACCTTCTATCTGAGTTGATGGGAATAACCCTTGTTCTGACTTCTGAATGACTACAAGAAATAACTAGGCTCCATTTCTCATCAAGTAGTTAGATCTGAATGTGTCTTGTAGGCTGAATGCTATTGCTGGAAGGCAAATCAAATGCTTCCTGTTGAAGTTAATAATGCAATGTAGGAACACGTTGGTAAGCTTCATAGAAGTAGAGAACTCTGAGCGCCGCTGTAGAATTGACAACTGATTTTATGGTTTTGAAATGACATTCTCCAAATAGTTTTTTGCTTGAAATGTTAATGGTGCACCTTTTATCATACATGATTTTCCATGTTGTTTTATTATGAATCTGACTTGCATCAATTTTCTTTCTTTTAGTTCCCAGAATTTATTACATCCTTCTTTGCTCGACTTTCTTGGCCATCGACGGGTAACCTGCCACCGCCTTCTGCACCAGCAAGAAATGCTCCAGGAAACGTACCAATCTTTGCAGGTCGCCAAATGGAGGTGAGTATTGTTTTGATGCCTTGGTTTAGTTAGTATAGTTAACTCTTTAATGTTTTAAGGGAAAGCTGTGTGTCTCAGTGTCAGGCTAGTTGAAAGAAATGCATCTAAAACAAATATCTTCCTTGGATTGTCTATCCTGAAATTGGACCAGTATTACTCCAATTGGATAAAATATAAAGCACTTGACTTTCCAAAAAAGATATCCCTTCATGGCTATTAGAGATCGAGATGTTCACAAGTACCCAGTCCTTAAAGAGAAACAGTCTACAGTTTAAAAAATAAAAGAAGAGAAACAGTTATTATTTGTTTCCCATCAACATCTCACGTCCTCTCCCTGGCTAGCTTTACTCTACAACTTTTATCTTCTCTTCATTGGCTTATGTCAAACATAATTGAGAATACTTTACCTTTACTGACCAAAAAAAAAGAGAGAATAGTTGAGCTTTTTGATATACACCACCCTCCCCAGACCCCACTTGTGGGATTACACTGGGTATATTGTCGTTGTCTCTTTTTTTTTCTTTTTTTTCTTTTCTGGGGTGGGAGGTGGGGAGTTACTTGAAAAAGGAGGTGCTCTCTCTTTTCTCTCACAGAGAGAGAGCTGCAGTAGATGGGGTGCGACCATGCGAGGATGGTGGAGCAGAATAGTGAAAAAATAATATTGAAAGACGAGAAGGCAAATAAACACACAAATAATCAGAAGTTTCAAGTTCCATATATTTTTTCCATGTATAGAAAAGAAGAATGATTAATCCATCTAGAAAGCGACATGATTAAGAGGGGGAGAAAGAGACAATGAAAGAAGAATAAATAATCAAGTCGTGGAACTTATATTCTTATATCTACTGCAAAGTTACCTTTTCTGATGTTCAAGTGAGAGTATGCTAGTGATTAAACATTGATTGTCCTCTCCATGTCTACTGGAGAATTCTGAGCCTTATTTAAGCCACAACGTCCAGATGGCTAATGCCAAGTGATTGAACTAAATGAACTGCTATTTGCACTCTAGAATCTTGTTTATTATGTTAAGAGTTTTATCAGTTAAGTTTAGCTTTCACATTTCTCACTTACGTCGTTGGATTTCAAATTTTATCTGGACCAATGGAATTGAGAGGTCACCTTGTTCAAATTATAAGTGAATTGATGGGCCATATTCATCACCAATGAGTTGATTCTTGGTGTGTTCCAATAGAAAACCAACTTCAGTCACATCTAAAGTTTCTATGGTCCTTTTTGAAAGATTATGAACGTTCTAACATTAGTCTACTGCTTTCTGCTGCATATTTCAGGGGAATTACCCAGCTCCAGTTTCATCCACCCCAGAGCCACCAGAAGACGCTATTGCTATGCTGGTATCGATGGGCTTTGATAGGAACTCAGCAAGGCAGGCACTCATCCATTCAAGAAATGATGTTAATATAGCCACAAACGTCCTCCTCGAGTCACAATCGCACTGAGATGGAACTTGCAGCAGTTCCTGTAAGGTGTTCACAATTTGAAATTTTTTGGGAATGGTTGGATTTACTTTCTCTTCCAATCTTTCAAGGTGCTCTTTGGTTTTTGTTCCTATGTTTCTTTAGCATTTTGTCTCATTCCAACGCCACCCTAATTGATTGTAATACCTGGATCAATTATGTATAGTCGCAGTGATGAGCTCTTACTGGTATTCTGGTGATTGTAAATCTGACCAAATTACTCACTCCTATAGGTTGAAAATAGTTTCATGCTTTTTTCGAAATCCTGAAGTATCCTCTTATTGGAGCCTGAATGTTGATTAGTTATTTATTCAACATCTTAATGGCTTGTGTTTTTAGTTGTGCTACATGCACCACATTGTTCAAGTACTTATAACAACTAAAGCCCACGTCTAGCTTCTTCTTATGTGTGCATCTTCAAGCTCCGGGAAGCAGTAAACGAAGCCTCAAGTTATCACTCCGCCATTTCCATACTCGTCCATAAACAAATTTTAATCAATTCAACACACTTAGCTATACGTGTGTACATTAAAAATATGTCACACACTGATAACAACAGACAGTTGAAGCTTTTGCTATTCCATTTTAGCAAGAGGAATTTGTCTTGTGGTTTCAATTAACTTCCAATCCATGAACAACATAACTATAAAATATGGACTTTGAGATGATGGAAATATCTATGAAGAAACATTGAAAAATATCCATAAATAAAAAATATTTATGATATAAAATTACAAATATATCTAGAAGTTTTCTCATTTTGATGGCTTGACTAGACGTCTGTAATTAATGTTGGAGGGATTCAATCCTTTCCACCAGACTGTCGTTGAGATAACTTATAATAATACGACATAAATGACACCATATCTAAATTGTCATTTTGTCTGGTAAATACATCTCCCTGTCTGATTCTCACATGCTTATCTATCTTAGGATTGACACTTGTGGTTAGCAACTCATATAAGGGTCCAAGATAGTGATCTTCAAAATGCTTGACTCAATTATGAGTGTTTAGAGCTAGTAGGTGTCAGGTTTAAATCTCACTACGAAAATAACCCGCACTTCGCACGAAAATTTAATATTATGAAATTTATAAAATAATACTTAAAGCTTATCAGTCATTAAAACTAAAATATTTTATTGTCTTACATACAAGATTACGTAATAACAAAACATTAATAATGTAAAGGAAAATGAAAATTGTAACATCTTATCATTTATCCTTAATAATATAAGTATAAATTAATGACTGTAAAAATATATACCAGGATGTGTAACATAAGCAATGGTGTCAGTGAGCCACTCAACAGGAGCAAAATACACAAATATTTAATTGTGAAGAAGAAGAAGAGGAAGAGGTTCATAATTTTCGTTCTTTTAAAATGAGAGGAAATCCCTCTATTTATAGACAACAAAGAGTAGTGTGAACAAATATTTATTGTGCCTTATCGGAAATGTTTCAACCATTCGAAAAAGTTGCAACCATTCGAAAAGGTCACAACCTTTCATAAAAGTCACAACTTTTCATAAAAGTAGCAACTCTTCATTAAAGTCGCAACTCTTCATAAAAGTCTCAACTTTTCATCAAAGTCGCAACTCTTCACAAAAGTCGCAACTTTTCGGGAAGGCTAGGTTTGAAAATAAATAAATTAAAAGAGAATTCTGGTTTGTGGTGGCGCCACGTAGGCGGGCCTAAGGTTCTCTTATATATATATATATATATATATGATATATGATATATGACTAGGTGATTCTTCCTATCTGTCCTAGCCTTGGTTGCCAGTGGGAGGTGGCAGGTATCTTTGTGGAATTAGCGAGGTGCACGAAAGCTGATCCGGATACCACGGTCATCAAAAAAATAAAATAAAATATGAGGCCATGCCTTTCGTTTTGCTGGTCTTTTTTTACTCAATTCTCATTACAAAATGTGAAGTTGATAGAACTAATCCTGAACTTAAATAAGTTTCCTCTCTCCATCTCAAATTCTTTTCTTTGTTTGAGAAAGAAATGGATGTTCTTGAATATTTTCTTCCTCTCTTGATTATCATCATGTGTTTTACTTATTCTACATGGTGGTACCTTAGTAATAGATGGTGGAAATCAAGCTCAGTGCCAACAAATTGGCCACTAGTTGGAATGTTGCCTGGGCTTATTCAAAATGCTCATCGTGTCCATGAATTTGCAACTGATATTCTTGTAGAAACTAAGGGAACTTTTAAGTTTCATGGCCCTGTTCTTGCAAACTTGAACATGTTAATTACTAGTGATCCTGCAAATATCCACTATATCCTTAGTAAAAATTTCTCAAACTATCCAAAGGGTGTTGAGTTCCGTAAAATTTTTGATATATTAGGAAATGGGATGTTCAATGTTGATTATGAGCTATGGGAGATGCATAGGAAGACCACCATGTCCTTAATGAATCATGCCAAGTTCCAAACTTTGTTGGAGAGGAACATGTGGAACATTATTGAAAACAGGCTCCGACCAATTCTTGATGCTTTTGCTGAACAGGACATTCTGTTTGATATGCAAGATATTTTCCAGAGATTCACTTTTGATGCTATCAGCAAATTGTTACTTGATCATGATCCGAAAAGTTTGTCTATTGGCTTACCTCATGTGCCATGTGAAAAGGCGTTCAACGACACTGTGGATGCACTTCTTTACAGACATCTCTTGCCAGAAAGTTGCTGGAAATTGCAAAAATGGCTTCGAATTGGTAGAGAAAAGAAGCTCATTCAAGCATGGGAAGCTTTTGATCAGTTCTTATATCCTTGCATTTCGCGTAAGCAAGAAGAATTGCTGCATCAAAGTACAATCAAAGACGAGGAATTCACATTTTTAAACGAGTACATCAAAATGTATAATCAATGGAAAGATGGTGATTTGGGTACTTTGCAAACATTTCTAAGAGACACTTTCTTGAGTTTGATGCTTGCTGGTAGAGACACCACAAGTGCAGCTCTCACTTGGTTTTTTTGGCTCTTAGCTAAAAATCCCTTAGCAGAGAAAAGGATTAGAGAAGAGATTCAACAACAATTGAATCTAAAAGAAGATGAAAATCTCAACTTTTTCAGCATACAAGAAACAAGAAAACTAGTCTATCTACATGGTGCTTTGTGTGAAACCCTGAGGTTCTTTCCATCAGTTGCAATTGAGCACAAACTTCCACATGACTTTGACATTCTTCCGAGCGGTCACCATGTTAGTCCAAACATGAGAATTGTGCTATCTCTCTATACAATGGGGAGAATGGAAAGTATATGGGGGGAAGATTGCTTAGAATTCAAGCCAGAGAGATGGATTTCTAAACGAGGAGGGATCAAACACGAGCCGTCTTTCAAATTCTCAGCCTTTAATGCAGGTCCAAGGACTTGTATAGGGAAGGAAATGGCGTTCATTCAGATGAAAATAGTGGCAGCTACCATCATATACAATTATCATATCCAATTAGGGGAAGATCAAATAATTTCTCCAAGTGCTTCTATTATCATTCAAATGAAACATGGTCTGAAAGTTAGACTCGTGAAAAGGGTTCCTCTTATGTCCAATCAAATCCAAATGCGTGAACAATGCTAAAATATTGGTGGAACAATATTGACGTATACAGGGTTCTCTTCGGTTTTTGTTTCTCTGTTTCTTTAGCATTTCACGCACTTGTCTCATTCCAACGCCACCATAATTGATTGTAATACCTGGATCAGCCTATACAGGGTTGTTCAAATGCATCATTTTATAGATTAGGTTATGTATAGTTGCAGTGATGAGCTCTTACTGGTATTCTGGTGATTGTAAATCTAACCAAATTACTCACTCCTATAGGTGTGATAATAAATCTGTGCCAGAGGCAAAGGTGTCATAAAATATTGGACTGGTTAAACAAATTCTATTAGCAACTAACATTGTCTAGAGTAAAATAGTTCTAATGTGTCAACTTAATCATACATAAAAACGTGCTCCGGGAGGTTAGCAGGTTGAAGAAAAGATAATTGTCCGAAGGAAGGAAAGAAGTGCTCATAAGAGCACTTTATCGAGTATCCCTACTTGTTGCATGTCCTTGTTGAATGATCCAACCTCTGTTGTAGGAAAGTTGGAAAGGCTGCAAAGAAATTTTCTTTGGGACGCAACAGATGGGGCAAAGAACTTTCACTTAGTTCGATGAGAGACCGTGACATCTCCTAAATGGTGGGGGAGGATTTGGGTTAAAGACATGAAGGTCTTTAACAAAGCATTTTTGGGTAAATGGTTATGGAGATTTGGAGTGGAGGGAGAACCATTATGGAGAGGGGCGATATCGGACAAATATGGAGTTTTTGAAGGGGGATGTGGTGTGGAGAAATATCATGAAGGGGTGGAAAGCCTTTAGTGACAACATAGCAACTCACAATATACTTATTGGTAAAATATTTCTGCAGATGGTTCATTCATATTAATTTACAAACAGTTGAAGCTTTTGGTATTCCATTCTAGCAAAGAATAATTTGTCTTGTGGTTTCAATTAGCTTTCAATCCATGGACAACAGAACAACTATTAAATATTAACTTTGAGATGATGGAAATATCTATGAAGAAAAATTGAAGGTTTATTGGTTACACTCCTCGGCGTTGTTACCCAAATACTCATCCTGAACAATCTCTTCCGGTTCAAAAATATGACATCTTTGCCTATTCTTGTTCAGGGTCTTCTAGAACCGTAAAACAATCTCGTCTAGAGAGTCAATGCTTCCTAGTAGAAGTTTTTTCGTTTCTAGGTATTGACTAGAAGTCTCTAAGGTAGGACAGATTCAATGAATTCCACCAGACTGTTGCTGAGACCACTAATAATAATATAACAAAATGGTACCATATCTAACTTATCATCTAAGTATGGACCCTGTCAGATTCTCACATCCTTATCAATCTTAACTTGCTGACATTGGCAATTGTGCTTAGCAACTCATGTGGGAGCTATATTGCTCGGACTATTCAAAAATGTCGACATGTGCGTGTCGGATTTGTCAAAAGTTCCGACACGGGTGCGGCGTGAAGAGTCCGCCCAACTAAGTGTGGGAGGCCAAGATAGTGATCTTTTGTAAATGCCTAACTCAAATGCCTTCCCTTTTCTGGTCTTCTTTACTCAATTATCTTTATAAAGTGTGAAGTTGAAAGAACTAATCCTCAACTTAAACAAGTCCCTTCTGCTCATTTCCAAGAAATGTATGTCCTTGAATATTTTCTTTCTCTTTTGGTTATCATCATGTGTTTTACTTATTCTACATGGTGGTACCTTAGTAATAGATGGTGGAAATCAAGCTCAGTGCCAACAAATTGGCCTCTTGTTGGAATGTTGCCTGGGCTTATTCGAAATGTGCATCGTGTCCATGAATTTGCAACTGATGTTCTTGTAGAAACTAAGGGAACTTTTGAGTTTCATGGTCCTGTTCTTGCCAACTTGAACATGTTAGCTACTAGTGATCCTGCAAATATCCACCATATCCTTAGTAAAAATTTCTCAAACTATCCAAAGGGTGTTGAGTTCCGTAAATTTTTCGATATTTTGGGAAATGGGATCTTCAATGTTGATTATGAGCTATGGGAGATTCATAGGAAGACCACCATGTCCTTAATGAGTCATGCCAAGTTCCAAACTTTTCTGGAGAGGAACCTTTGGGACATTATCGAAAATGGGCTACGACCTATTCTTGATACTTTTGCTGAACAGGACACCCTGTTTGATTTGCAAGATATTTTCCAGAGATTCACTTTTGATGCTATCAGCAAACTGTTACTTGACTATGATCCCAAAAGTTTGTCTATTGATTTACCTCATGTTCCATGTGAAAAGGCGTTCAACGACGTTGTGGATGCACTTATGTACAGACACATCTTGCCAGAAGGCTGCTGGAAATTGCAAAAATGGCTTCGAATTGGTAAGGAAAAGCAGTTAATTCAAGCATGGGAAGCTTTTGATCAGTTCTTATATCCTTGCATTTCGCGGAAACAAGAAGAGTTGATGCAGAAAAGTACAATCAAAGACGAGGAATTCACATTTTTAAACGAGTACATCAAAATGTACAATCAATGGAAAGATGGTGATTTGGGTACATTGCAAACATTTCTAAGGGACACTTTCTTGAATTTGATGCTTGCTGGTAGAGACACCACAAGTGCAGCTCTCACTTGGTTTTTCTGGCTCTTAGCTAAAAATCCCTTGGTAGAGAAAAGGATTAGAGAAGAGATTCAACAACAATTGCATCTCAAAGAAGATGAAAATCTCAAGTGTTTCAACATAGAAGAAACAAAAAGACTAGTCTATCTACATGGTGCTTTGTGTGAAACCTTGAGGTTTTTTCCATCAGTTGCAATTGAGCATAAACTTCCACTTGAATTTGACATTCTTCCGAGCGGTCACCATGTTAGTCCAAACACGAGAGTTGTGCTATCGTTCTATACGATGGGGAGAATGGAAAGCATATGGGGAAAAGATTGCTTAGAATTCAAGCCAGAGAGATGGATTTCTGAACGTGGAGGGATCAAACATGAGCCATCTTACAAATTCCCGGCCTTTAATGCAGGTCCAAGGACTTGTATAGGTAAGGAAATGGCATTCATTCAGATGAAAATAGTGGCAGCTACCATCATATACAATTATCATATCCAATTAGGGGAAGATCAAATAATTCTTCCAAATTCTTCTGTTATCATTCAAATGAAACATGGTCTGAAAGTTAGGCTTGTCAAAAGGGTTCCTCTTATGTCCAATGCATGAACAATATTGACGTATGTAGGATCTTATGCAAGCAGTGTCGATATAATTACTATAACATGATTAAGCATCTTAGTAAAATGCATTCAAGTGCATCAATAAAATCGTCCTCATGAATTAGTTTTTATTATGTTATAAACGCATCATCATAGTCTTGAGTTTTTCTTTCAATTAATGTAAACTCTTCGTATTATATATCGAAATGTTGGATGACATTGCTTGCATGGTTATGGCCTATGTGATGTTCAATGTTTTACTAACTATTTAGAAAATCTGAATGGAGATGCCCTTTTTCTTTATCTGCTTTGAAGTTTGTTTACTATTAAAAATAAACAGAATACCTAAAGGAGAGCTTTTGAATGGGCGGAGATAAGCTTCCTTCAATTGAGGAGTGGTCTTCGATCCATTATAGTTTTTTCGTGCACCCATGTAGTTCCCATTTGTATCATTGTCCACGGAGAACCCACCCCAAAGCCAAGTCACTATGGTATCTCCTACTACAGGTATGGCGCTAGCTAAGCTTGTGATTACTGTAGCTCCCCAAAAGCTCATCTGACCCCAAGGTAGGACATATCCTATAAAAGCTGTCACAATCAATTAATAGGAAGATTTACAACTCCGAGACACCGAACAAATTCCCTAGGACTGCTATAACTGGCATGATATAGACCGCGAAAAATATGCAGGTGAACCACAATGAAAAACATACTTGCCCCATTAGCATGCATATAACGGAGCAACCAGCCCCCTTCAACATCTCCCATAATGTGTTCTACGCTGTTGAAAGCTAGATCCACATGAGGTGTGTAATGCATAGCTAAAAAACGCCAGTCACTATCTGAATGACTAAACAATACCCGCTAACGACCGACCCCGCATACTAGATTGCTCGGGGTTGGATAATCTATCAAATGCTGATTAAGTGTGGAGGATATAGGTTGTTTAAGAAGAGAGAGCCGTTGGTTCCTTATAGTCATTTCTTTTTTTCTCTTTTCTATCGTGACAACTCTTGTTCCCCCCACCTTTTAGCGTTCTGGGGCCCTACTATGTATTAAAATGTGAGTGTCTTTTTTGAGAGAATATTATTTTGTAGGTTTCTCTGTTTTTTGGTAAACCTCTTGGATATGGCCAAGATAGCCTTGTTATTACTTCCTAATAGAAGTTTTTTCCTAACTAAGGTAGGACTGATAAGTGATTCAATCCATTTCACCAGACTTCTGGTGAGACAAGTAATAATATGACAAAATGGAACCATATCTAATTTAGCTTGCTGGCATTGACACTTTAGTTTAGCAACTCATGTGGGAGGCAAAGGTAGTGATCTTGTAAATGCCTAACTCAAATATGAGCCCATGCCTTCCCTTTTCTGGTCTTATAAAATGTGAAGTTGAAAGAACTAATCCTCAACTTAAACAAGTCCCTTCTCTCCATTTCCAAGAAATGTATGTTCTTTCTCTTTTGGTTATCATCATGTGTTTTACTTATTCTACATGGTGGTACCTTAGTAATAGATGGTGGAAATCAAGCTCAGTGCCAACAAATTGGCCACTAGTTGGAATGTTGCCTGGGCTTATTCGAAATGCTCATCGTGTCCATGAATTTGTAACTGATGCTCTTATAGAAACTAAGGGAACTTTTGAGTTTCATGGTCCTGTTCTTGCCAACTTGAACATGTTACTTACTAGTGATCCTGCAAATATCCATCATATCCTCAGTAAAAACTTCTCAAACTATCCAAAGGGTGTTGAGTTTCGTAAAATTTTTGATATGTTAGGAAATGGGATGTTCAATGTTGATTATGAGCTATGGGAGATGCATAGGAAGACCACCATGTCCTTAATGAATCATGCCAAGTTCCAAACTTTGTTGGAGAGGAACATGTGGAGCATTATCGAAAACGGGCTCCAACCAGTTCTTGATGGTTTTGCTGAACAGGGCACCCTGTTTGATTTACAAGATATTTTCCAGAGATTCACTTTTGATGCTATAAGCAAACTGTTACTTGATCATGATCCAAAAAGTTTGTCTATTGGCTTACCTCATGTTCCATGTGAAAACGCGTTCAACGACTCTCTGGATGCACTTATGTACAGACATTTCTTGCCAGAAAGTTGCTGGAAATTGCAAAAATGGCTTCGAATTGGTAAAGAAAAGAAGCTTATTCAAGCATGGGAAGCTATTGATCAGTTCTTATATCCTTGTATTTCGCGGAAACAAGAAGAGTTGATGCATGAAAGTACAGCCAAAGACGATGAATTCACATTTTTAAACGCGTACATCAAAATGTACAATCAATGGAAAGATGGTGATTTGGGTACATTGCAAACATTTCTAAGGGACACTTTCTTGAATTTGATGCTTGCTGGTAGAGACACCACAAGTGCAGCTCTCACTTGGTTTTTTTGGCTCTTAGCTGAAAATCCCTTAGTAGAGAAAAAGATTAGAGAAGAGATTCAACAACAATTCAATCTAAAAGAGGGCGAAAATCTCAAGTTTTTCGAAATAGAAGAAGCAAGAAAACTAGTCTATCTACATGGTGCTTTGTGTGAAACCCTGAGGTTCTTTCCATCAGTTGCAATTGAGCATAAACTTCCACTTGAATTTGACATTCTTCCGAGCGGTCACCATGTTAGTCCAAACACGAGAGTTGTGCTATCGTTCTATACGATGGGGAGAATGGAAAGTATATGGGGAAAAGATTGCTTAGAATTCAAGCCAGAGAGATGGATTTCTGAACGTGGAGGGATCAAACATGAGCCATCTTACAAATTCCCGGCCTTTAATGCAGGTCCAAGGACTTGTATAGGTAAGGAAATGGCATTCATTCAGATGAAAATAGTGGCAGCTACCATCATATACAATTATCATATCAAATTAGAAGATCAAATAATTCTTCCAAATTCTTCTGTTATCATTCAAATGAAACATGGTCTGAAAGTTAGGTTGGTTAAAAGGGTTCCTCTTATGTCCAATTGATATCGAACGCGTGAACAATGGCATACATAAGATTTTAGGTAAACAATGTCGATATATGAAGAAGTAAAATAAATTACTATAACATGATTAATAAAATCGTCCTCGTGAATTAGTTTTTATTACTATGAATACAACATGATGTTTGAGTATTTCCTTCAATTAATGTAAACTCCTCTTATTATATATCCTAATATTGGATGCATGGTTATGGGATGTTGAATCTTATCTATTTGAAGTTTATTTGCTATTTAAAATTGGCAGAATACTTAACGACCCTCCTAAACTTGACGTGTTTTATTCAAATTCCTCTTAAATTATGTCTGGTCTTAATTACACAATTTACTTGTTTTTTTATGTACTCGACTTTTTTAAATAATTCAAATGATGTTTAATGCGTCAGAGTGTAGAAAACAGTCACATCATATTATATAAAATATGTAAAAATAATAATAAAAAAAGAGAGATATACTGATGATCCACGACCCCGAAAAAATCAGGTAAAACTCAAATTCTGAATCCGCATAGAAAAGCCAAGTATAAGGGGCTAAGTAGGACCAATTGTTATTTGAGAGAGGCAATGATTATAGAAAAGTCAAGTATGTGAGCAATTAGGACCAAGTATAATTTAATAGGAATTTTAATAAAATGCGTCAAATTTGAAAGGATCTTTATTCTTTAGGTATTCCGCCTTTTGAATTATGTCCATGTTCAATTATAAATGCAAAAGTTGGGTATTGAACTGAACTAATTAGGAACACGTTCAATTATAAACACGAAAGTTGGGTGTTGAACTGAACTAATTAGGATCAATTATTATTTGAAGGGGGCAATGATTATAAAAAAAGTCAAGTACATGATTAACTAGGACCAAGTATAATTCAATAGGAATTTGAACAAAACGCGTCAAGCTTAGAAGGGTCTTTACTCTTTAGGTATTCCGCTTTTTGAATTATGGTCACGTTCAAGTTGGTACGTACTTTCTAATGTTGTTAAATGTGTATAGTAGCTATCATTCACCAATAATTTATAGAACATAAATGAGAGTATTTGTTATGTACTCAAAAGACAAAATTAATGTGGTGTCTAAATATCATGTGCCAATCAAATCATTAACCTTGTAAAAAGAAAATCTTTTGGTTTTTTAGAAGAGCCACACCTTTGAACTAACTAGTGGTTCACCAAAACATGATTGACAACTCATGATATGTGACTTGTCCAAGACCTAATTGTCTGTTATCTATTAGCCCTAACCCAAGGTTAAAATTGGCATAAATCAAAAGTTTAGCCAACAACTTTGTATAAAGTTGAATAAGTAGATAGACACATTTTCGTAACAATTCGTATGAGATATACTTGAACTGACTTGTAATACGCCACGTAGAACGCAAGTGTCTACTAGTTCAACTTTGTATAGATTTAAGTGCATATTTTTGCTAAAATATTATAGAACCATTAAAATATCAGTTTATCGGCTATCAATCGTTATCGATTAGGTTATCAGTTTAACCGTTTTATAGATTTTTTACACACAAAAGAACATTGAAAATTACTTAGAAACTAAATGAACCATGCACATGAATTGACATATTGCATCTTGTTCGAAAGAAAATACTAACACCTAATTGAATAATCGAAAGTCCGAGACAGTCACAAATGAAATGTAATTTATTAATTTACTATCGAATTATCGATTAACCCGTTAAGAAAAAAACCTCAACCTGTTAAGAACCGATAATCTTTCCCTCGGAGTGTTTTCATTCTCCCCGTTGTATAGAATGGCAACGTCATTATCTTGATTTTGGACTAGCACTGTAACTGCAAGTGGAAATTTGTGCTCTAAAGAGATTGATTGAAAGAAATGTACCATGTAGATAGATCACTATTAGTTCTTGATTTTTATTTGTTGAAAAACTTGATGTTTTTCATCTTCTTTTATGTGTAATTGTTGTTGAATCTCTTCTCTAATTTTTATCTTTACTAAACTAATAAATAAGGCTCGCGTTGGATGCATCTGCTATTGGTTGGTATTTTCCCTTCGAGAGCTTGCGCTCTGACCTTTTTGTGTAATAAACCCCTCCGGACGAAAATTAGTGATAGGTCATCTTATGGAGCTTTTAGTACCTTTTCTTGTTGGAGGGGCGATCATATGTTAAACTAACAAAGAAACTAGGGTAAACTAATGTGATCATGACATCGTAAGTGATTGCTAATTAAACATCTCTGCAAACGGCTATATTTATCGGTTTGGTTCTGCCTTCTATTAAAAACCAATTCAAATCAAATATTTCATTTTTCTTAAATTTAACGCCAAACAAAATCAAATTAAATCACTAGTCAATTTATTTTTGTAGGTTTATTGGTTCAAATTAATTTGTTTTCTCTCATTGATTAGACACTCCTTAGTCTTGTTATTCAAACACTCATCCTTAACGATCTCTTCTGGTTTAACATTGTCCCAAATATAGCATATTTTCCTCTTCTTGTTTAGGATCCTCTAGAACCACAAAACGGTTTCATCTAAAGAGGATAGAACGGTTAATTCCTACTAGAAGTTTTTTCATTATCAAGCAAGATCCACTTGCATGCAATGGCATGGTGTTAAACCTTTCATTCGAATCTCGTGCTCTCCAAATCATGTGGGAAGGTTTCCCATCACACAACCTACCAACTTGGTCTTATGCCGGAACCATATGTCTGAGCGAACCTAGAAAATAGGTACCTCTCACTTTCCTTTGTCACTCAAGTGTACGACATCTCTTGTGCTTATGCCCCTTTTTCCCATACCTAATGAAAGAGTAGTCCACCTCCTGGCTTAATACATTAGTCTCAAATAAGGCGTGCAAGTCTACCCCTTTAGTAGGTGATTCAATATCGAAGCGAAGAAAAAGCTAGTTGAACTAGACAATGCTTATGATTATTAACTCATGTAGGGGGTCCAAGATAGTGACTTTGAAAATGACAAACTCAAATTAAACATGGATGTCCTAGTCTAATTTACACAACTCTATCTCTAAAAAAATGTGAAGTTGAAAAAAAAAATTAGTCCTCAACTTAAACAAGTCCCTTCTCTCCATCTCCAAAAAATGTTTGTCCTTGATTATTCTCTTTTTCCCTTTATCATCATCATCATGTGTTTTACTTATTCTACATGATGGTACCTTAGTAATAGATGATTCTTCTACGTGTGATGACAATTTTTCAGATCTACCCGCTAAAGCACCCCAATTGAAAGATGTTAGTGACAAGGTTCAAGGACTTATTGGTATAATTTTAATTATTAGCAATCTATTGAAATGATAATGATACATAAGACAATGTAATGACTTGAAAGTTATGAAATAAATATGCTTCCCTTTTTTAATTTAAATATTCGACATGTTAGCTACTAGTGATCCAACAAATATCCACCATATGCTTGTGCATGACTTCTATTTCTAAAGAACTTATATATGACAGACGCTCGATTACTAAAGGACAATTAAAAGCTAGTCTATATCAAAGACCAACTAAAACAAAGTATGATCAACAAATTCATGAAATTGGACCTCTTCAAGACTCAATTGTTTGTTATGAATAAGGCCCAACCCAAAGTGAATAGTGTCACACAAGCGGCTATTGGGCCGAGAAGAAATAATTGGGCCACAAAGCCTTAATAATGGTGGACTAGAACTTTTGGCCCGACCTAACTTTTTTGGAAAAATCACACCATATACACATTTAAGAGACAATATTACGAGTTTTAAATCTACTCTTAAAAAATTCTTACTTATAACAGTTTAATTACGGGTTATAACATATCAATTAAATTTAACTTTATTTAAAAAATTAATTAAAATTTACTTTATTAAATGATTAATCTTTTTATATTTTTATATTATTAATTATTTAATTATTATTGATTGCAGTTCCTTTTATATAATTAATAGGTGAGAGAAATAATATTAATGAGAGATAATCAATTTGTAATTATCTATTACACCTTTTAAGGGATTTTTTAACTCATTCAAATAACTTTTATTTATTAATGACTATTGGGGCCTTTAATTTTTTTAAATAATAAATTTATCACCGTATATTTTAACATGTAATTTTCTCTCTCTTTAATCTATTTTTTTTTGCTTTTCTTGATTTTTTTTTATTTTAAAATTTTATATTGTTTTTTTTTAATTTGATTTTTTTAGAATTAAGAATTCTATATTTTGAAAATTTGATTTCGTTTTTT